ATTATAATTTTTAACTTTTAACTTTACACCTGAAGATGGTTCAATGTAACCGAAACATGTAGTAAAAAGATGTACCAAATATGTAAATGATATTTCAATATCTTATGTATAAATTTTATTTATAAATTTTATTTATATACAATTGTGATTAGACGGAAAAAACACGAATAATTAAATTTTAATTCACAATATGACGCAATTATATCAACTTATGGAAAAGTTTTAAAAAAACGCTAGATGTAAAACAACGATTCTTCCAGCTGTGGTAAATTAAAGCTAATTACCGGCCATAGAAATGTTGATGAAAGCATAATTACGCATGATTAATGAGTGAAGGCAGATACGGGACGAACCTGCCTAGTCGGCTCTGAGGTGATGTGATTAATCCATCCGTCTGAACTAGTTTCAGGGTGGTATTTCAACAAATAGTGTTAATCATTTGCAAGGTATGAATTGAAATAAATAGGCCTGTTACTTTGATAAAGTACGCGCTTCAAAGAAAACGTGATTTCTCTGTGCAGAGCAGACACAAAACATTACACAGTCTGCAATGGGATAAGTGGACAGATGGATGAAAGCAGAAGAAAAAAACAACAAATGCGATGAGATTCCAAGAAAATAAGTCCAAAACCAGATTTACATATTGTCATTTGCGTAGAAGTTAAATAATAACAGGTGGGCTATATTTTACTGGAAAAATCTATGCCTAGAGACTGCTGATTATTACGCAGTCATTTATTAAACTGAGTTTTCTTATACAGAAGATCGCTTCCGCCTAGCACCAGGATTTCACTATCCACAGTTATAATAAAAATGGCTCTGTTCACTTACTGTACGATAACTGTATCTTAAAATGTTCTCTGACAAGTTCTCTGACTCTTTTATTCCAAACAACATCCCGTTCTCTTTTCATCTGTATTATTTTCGCTACAAATACTGCTTTGGACAGCCCTGTCCACCCAGTGAAACAAACTGCATGGGGCAGAAAGCCTGGAAATTTCAAGAGCCCATTAAATCTATGCGAACGGTCATCTCGGATCTGGATAAATGTTCATGGCCCCGCCCTTTCCAGTTATGCTATTACTTGCACGCCCAGTGATGAGACGGTCCAGTTCGTCGATTCTTTTTGCACATATTAAACAATCTTGATAGAGATATTTAACCCACGTGGGTGGTAAATGTGAGTAATTGCATCAGCTTCATGCAGAGAAGCCTCCACACATAAACCAGTTAGGCTGTAGCAGGTGGGACGGGCCCGCAGATTAGAAGGAGCAGTGTGCTTAATTGTTTCCCATCGCGTCACGTGGTTGTAAAGGTGATGACGGTCGCCGACCGTACGTCCGCGGGCATCAAGGTGCCCGCCAGAAAGTTTACGTAAACAGGAGTTGCCAATGCGGTTTCTTGTGTCTGAGGTACGGTTAAAAACTAAGGAAAATGTTTCTGTAACAAATCGATGGCACCTTAATCATACAAAGGAATGCCTTTTAAACTAGGGTAGTTTTGTGTAAGTGTGTAATAGCATATCTACATAATTGCCCTCAACGAAAAAGATTAGCGACCCTCTGGTATGAAACCATTACAGCTGTCAAATGCAGCTTCGTTTCTGAACCAAAAACTCCGTTCCCGATTTCCTGAAACCGTGGGAGGGGTTCGCGGTACCAGAAAGTTTAAGAGGTAAGGCGATTTGAGGCAACAGAAAAGTTGAGAAACATTGAATTAGACAATTACAAGTTAGTTTACAGAGCAATATTACAGACCGTAAAGTTCATTAGAAAAATAACTTAAATAGGAATACAATAGTAATATTACAAGGGCATAACACACTGAGATGATATAGATAAGTAGAATTAGTCAAGGAAGATAAACCAGCAAAAATCAACTCAGAAGGTTGAGGTTTGACAATTATTTATTTTAATCCGTCTGATCACAATATTTAAAATTTCTTATAATTAAGATAATAATATATCATTGATGTTCCATATCGATTGATCCAAAATGTAAATGTAAATCGATCAATCGATATGGAACATCAATGATATTTTATTATCTTAATTATAAGAAATGTTAAATATTGTGATAAGACGGATTAAAATAAATAATTGTTATAATATTCACAATATGACGCAATTACAATATCTTAATAAAAATGGCGCTGTTCACTTACTGTACGATAACTGTATCTTAAAATGTTCTCTGATAAGATCTCGAACTCTATTATTCCAACCAACATCCCGTTCTCTTTTCATCTGTGTTATTTTTCGCTACAAATACTGCTTTGGTCAGCCCTGTCAAACAAAATTCATGGGGCAGAAAGCCTGGAAATTTCAAGGGTCCATTAAATCTATGTGAACGGTCATCTCGGACATGGATAAATGTTCATGGCCCCGCCCTTTCCAGTTATGCTGTTACTTGCACGCCCGACGATGAGACGGTCCAGTTCGTTGATTCTTTTTGCACTAATTAAACAATCTTGATAGAGACATTTAACCCACGTGAGTGGTAAATGTGAGTAATTGCATCAGCTTCATGCAGAGAGTTCTCCACACATAAACCAGTTAGGCTGTAGCAGGTGGAGCGGTCCCGCAGATTAGAAGGAGCAGTGAGCTTAATTGTTTCCCATCGTGGTTGTAAAGGTTTGTGAAGACGATCGCCGACCGTACGTCCGCGGTCATCCAGGTGCCCGCCAGAACATTTACATAAACAGGAGTTGTCAATGCGGTTTCTTGTGTCTGAGGTATGTTTAAAAGCTAAGGAAAATCGATGGCACCTTAATCGTACAAAGCAATGCTTTTAAACTAGGGGCAGTTTTGTGTAAGTGTGTAATAGCATATCCACATAATTGCCCTCAACGAAAAAGATTATGGAGCCACTACAGCTGTCAAATGCAGCTTGGTTTCTCAAACAATAACTCCGTGCCCGATTTCCTGAAACGGTGATCATGACGTATCAGTGTGGGAGGGGTCCGCGGTACCAGAAAGGTTGAGAGGTAAAGCGGTTTGAGGCATCAGAAAAGTTGAGAAACATTGAATTAGACAAATACAAGTTACATTACGGAGCAATAGTACATACCGTCTTGTAACAGCGTTCTGAGAAGGCAAACATTTTGCGATGGGTCTATCCCCCGTCTGATATCTTAATGACTCAGTAGTTCGGAGTTTATTTTGAATCGGTAAAAGCCATCAACTATCGCGAACAGGTACACAAATCAGTACCGAAGTGTGCATGCACATTTCATTTGAAACAACTTGGTATTATTTATTTTATTTAGAATTATTAAATTGAATTATATTACTTAGGTATTGTATTTAGCCCATTTATTTGTGAAATATGATTGAATAAATTAATCGAATTATTATTATTAATATGTTACATTTATATACTTAGTTTCATTTCTTGTTTTACTTTTATTATTATTGAATGTGGAAAGTGCCTTCGTAGTGAGCGGACGTGTCTTGCTAGTGCTCCGTGCTGTGTATTTACAACGTGGTGCAGTTTTACAGGAATCTACTACCTGCTGCCTTCCGCCGCAATGACGGCTAGCAAGGATACTTGCGAGGTGTGCAAGAAGGCTTTCTACGGAAAGCAAAAGCATATTAGATGTTGTGGGCCGTGTGCTTCCCGTTTTCATGTTAATTGCTTGAAAATGAGCGAGGTGGAATACTCATTCCTCTTTTCTGATGGTGTTTCCACCTACAAGTGCAGAAAGTGCGTAAAGGCACTTCGAGGCGTTAGTGGTGTAAACACACCGCCTAGGATCTTGCGTTCTGCCTCTGCCTCGGAGATTGCAAAGAAGGTAGTGTCTCCTGTAAAGGAACCGATCCTGCCAGACTTTGGGGGTTACGACTCTCTCGCTGAAAAGTTGGAGATGGTGAGGCTCAATGGAGCTAGCAATCTTGTGGAAACCTTGGTCCAGTTGGTCCTCAAACTTTCTGAGGATGTGCAGCAGCTGCGCAAGGACAACGAATATTTGGCCTGTGCTGCTGACGTGGGCGTTAAATCCTACAAGGACGTCGCACTCACGGGTTTACAATCTACGGAGACCCCAACGCAGGTAGACACCGAGGGCTTTATTACGGTGAACCGTAAAAGGAAGCCCAACACAGGTACCCCGGTGGTCAACACAACAAAACAGCGTAGACAGCCCTTAATTGGGGTCCGAAACTCTGCCTGTAATCTCTAAGAAAGAGAGGTCTAAGGCCCTGTTCGTTTCAAGGTTTAGTCCTGAGGTCACGACTTCAGATATTGAGACTTCATTAAAGGAGCAATTACGCATTAAGAATTTGGTGTGCACCAGGCTTAAAACAAAATTTAGCAGTTATTCTTCCTTTCATGTTTCTGTCAACGAAGACGAGTTTCCATTAATTAATAATACTGGCGTGTGGCCAAACGGGTGCCTTATTGCTCCTTTTTTACGGCAGACTTACTTCTGAGCAGGTTTACTCCTCGAGCGCGCCTGTCAGGTCATCGGAGTCAGATGCTCTGCCTACGGCCAGTGTGGCTCCTGTGCCTGGAGGCGGCTCTTGACAACTGTGATTTTGATATATTTTATCAAAATGTCAGGGGCCTAAGAACCAAATGCAGTAAATTATGAAAAAAAATATTTCCCTGATATCAGAGAACATGTTTTTTCTTTGTCATCAGTATTTGAAAGTAACTATCGCTGTGAGCAACTATTTTTTTATTTTGTTGCTAATGGAGCAGGCGTTATTCTTGAAGTGATGAAGTTTTCGTAGAAAAATGCAAGTTTTAAAGAATAAAATCTAAACGTAATTGTTAACGTGATGCATTTTGTATACCGTTAATATCAGACTGGCAATTTACTGATAACTGAAAATATCGTATGGTCTAATGTTAATCAAAAATACGTATAATGAAGGATAACTGCATAGAACGAAACAGTAAAATGTGTCTATTAATGAATAATAGTGACTATGAAGGGCAGTGCATTACAGATCACTTAGGTATCGATGCAAAGTTGTCACTGACCTTCGATTATCCGCATTTGGCTTCTGGTTTAGAATAATGATAAAATGAATATTCCAATCACACAAAATTCAACTTTCACAAACGATAATCACTACAACACGTATCACGTCTAACAAAATCAAAGGCCACCACATCGTCGAACACCTAGCGAAACACAAACAGCTAGAAGCCAGCTGCGAGTCGTCTGCGAGAGCTCGCACGTTACGTCCGCTTCGCGCAGCTGCCCTACCTTCTGTTCGACATCAGAGTACCTCGCGCCACGGTGATCCAACAGCCCGTTCCCGTGTTGTGTTATACAAGAACCGACGTACAACAATAGGGCCCATAATTGCCTTTTACTCAATGGACTTTTCGGAGCGTATATCTTGTGCACAGGAAAAGCTTTTGTGTGTACCACTACTACACCACAAATCCCACCATCCTATGCTTCCCTTTTACCGTGGCAAGTGATTTTGAGCCTTATGGAAAATTCCATATAAATTATCCTCTGCAAAGACGGTGGTAGTTGTGTTGGTGTGTATAATAATGTCTGTTGTATAGAAAACCATTTGCTTCAATGATTTCAATTAGATTCGTAAACGAGTTTAATTAAAGACGTATTAATTTTAAATTGAGGTTTTATGAAAAGGAATGGCTTCGGAATCTGATTTTAATATTTATAACATATCGTGAACTGACTCTGGGGGAAACAAAAGATAGTATTTCACTGCCTTTATAAAAATAGGCAAAATTATAATCAGGAGCGATATATAAATGTCTTTCACTTTACAATATCCACTTCGGAGTGAAGGGTAAGTAACTCAGCTTCCAAACTTTTATATACAGTTAGAAACACGAGTAGTTGCAATGACGTAACGAGAAGTGAGCTGACGGCAGTCTTCACTGTAGATACGGCTAGTAGCATAGTCAAATGCACACAAGGTGGCATTTATGCGGACAGCAGACCAAATACTCAAGTACATATTTAAAATAACATGCTTACCGATCGTACTGAAGTAACATTTTCTATTCAAAGTTTCCAGCCAAGTAGCACCATCATTTTACTTTAAAGTTTATATAAAAGGTTTGTATTGTCTAGTAAAGTGCTCACAGATTGGATGAGTTGTGGACATATGTATCTCGTAAAACCTATTTCCCCATTTTGCAGACTTACATTCCCACAAATCTGTATTTGGTGTTTTTGGCTAATGTAGGTTTATAATCCAACAATAAAACCGGAAGTCGTGTCCGAGTGGTTATCAGTCTCGCTTCGGAATGTCGGATTATTATCTCGGTTATTCTTGACTGATGCTTATCCCTCCAGACAAACTGCGTCACAGTAGCTTAAAATAGTCCACGACCGCCTCCTTTCATATACTTTTTCATTCATTGTTCATTCAGTGCCCTATCTTTCGACGACACATAGTATTAGGTACTGACAGCATTATACATAAATTATAATTGAAACTAAATAAGAAAAACCAATGAATTCTAACTTAATTCCCCTGTCAGTGTGCCACGTTTGAGCACAGATAGTCAGTCACAGGGTCGAACCAAATCACTGCAACTGCACGAAACGTCGCAGAAGCCTAGTCGGTAATTATGAATTGTGTTCTGGAGAACTTAGTTTCAAATTTCGGCCTAACCACCGACAAAACTAACAACGGCTACTTGCGATTTAGCTGTTTAGTAATCTGTTTTGAAGTAGGCCACGATTTTTTCCTCCACCTCCTTTACAATTCGTTAATAATTAAAACCTTATAATTTGAAGCTGCCATTGATAATCTGTGAAAAGGTCGAATTAAACAGAAATAGCATTTTCCGGAACAACAAAGAGATAATCTGAAACAATTGCAAGGTCGCAAAATAAAAATAAATAAATAAGTTGAAAGCAACTGTAAAATGCACTGTTATTATCGTCATTGTGACCACCATCATTACCATTTCGATGGTGATGCGGCACACCAAAATAAATTATTATCGCTATCATATTTGTAATAATAACTAACTAGGACTACTTCAGTATATGACGTTTCCTAGGTACCAATTATGCCGAGTAAACAACTGACGTTTCCAAGGTAACATAATGCACTTACACTTTTTCCTTTCACTTTTTCGTTCCACTTTATGCCGAATGACACTGACCCTAAAATATAGACGTATTTACGTCAAAAAACTGAACATAAATCTCTGGTACATTATTTGCAATGCTTGGTGGGCGCAGAATTCGGGGCGCACGTCAAACTTGCGGAAACATATTGGTGTCCTATGTCAAATGTCAACAAAACATATCGAAAATATTGCCTCACATTTACTCGAGGATACGACGTACAAACACACAGACGCACTCTAACGGAAAAATACGGAACCAAAGAAAAGATGTGCCATCTGTGAAGACCACAATGGAAAGAAATCAATACTTTCGAATGGCATCCTGGAAAAAAAAAAGTCAGTCTGCATTGGTTCTATCTTAGAACAGTCGGATGGTCCAGATTGTATAGTCGCCATTAAAATACGGTTGGAATTATTTGATATCGTTCGGTCAGTATCAACGTAACTTTGTGCTCTGGAAATACAGTTCTTCGAGACCATTAACAAGATTAATTGTCAATCAGATATTAACGGGTGCTACCTACAGTGAATCTCAGTGTAAGGATGTCTTCTCCGTGACGTGTGAGAATACAAACAAGTGAAACACCAATCCAACATAACATGCAAGAATATGTGCGGTTCGTCAAATTGAGACATACGACTTCAGTGAAAGGACATTTCCATGCCATGTGGGCTCAGTAAAGACGTTTGTACGACTTAGTAACACATAAATTATATACAGATATCGCTTATCTGCATAAGCTGGACCTATGCCACAGGTACGTTAGTGATATTAATACTATATTATGTCTTATCGCTTTTTATAAAGTCGCAAGAAGGCATCAAAGTCGTGAGGTGGAGGATGCGCAAAGTCGGCCACGACCACTTACCAATAACGATATTACGCGCTCACACAATCCCCATATAACACAAATATTGCTTATATGCGTGTAATACATCATAACAAGTCTAAAACTACATAATGTTTCCACAAGAATTGTTTCTTGCAAAATTGATGTAGTGTAGATGTTGACGCAAATACGTAGCAGGTTCATGCGTAGCGATGACCCAATCTAACTCACTATAAATAAGTATCATGTAACGAAGCAATCGGAATAAACATACGAGAATGATAGTACGTCATATATAAATATAACTTGCCTCACAAAAAAAACTGAATATAAATCAGAGGCACATTATTTGCAATGCTTGGTGTTCGCGGAATTCGGGGCGCACGTCAAAATTGTGGTAATATATTGGTGTCATATGTCAAATGTAAACAAAATATATCGAAAATATTGCCTCCATTTACCTGAGGACACGACGTACAAACACAAAGAGGCAGTCTACCGGAAAAATACGGAACAAAAGATAAGACGTGCCACCTGTGAAGACCTCAATGGAAAGAAATCAATACTTTCGAATGGCATCGAGGACCAATCATAAGTCAGTCAGTATTGGTTCTGTCTTGGAACAGTCGGCTGGTCCAGATTGAATAGTCGACATCAACCTACGGTTGGAATTATTTGATTTCGTTCATTCAGTATCAACGTAACTTTGTGCTCTAGAAATACAGTTATTCGGGACCATTAACAATATTAATTGCCACCGTTCAATCAGGTATTAACGGGTGCTACCTACAGTGAATCTCAGTGTAAAGATGTCTTCCCCGTGACGTGTGAGAATTAAAAACAAGTGAAACACCAATCCAACATAACATGCAAGAATATGTGCGGTTCGTCACATTGAGACACACGACTTCAGTGAAAGGATATTTGCATGCCATGTGTGTTCAGTAAAGACGTTTGTACGACTTAGTAACACGTAAATTATATACAGAAATCGCTTACTTGCAGAAGCTGGACCTATGTAATTTGTGAACATTCATTCTTTATAACGAAGAATGGGGTCACTGTAGTAATTATATGTAGTGTAATATAAAATTAAATAAATATTTTAATAAATTCTACTTCGTGTGACAACATGTATACTTCCACAATGAAATATTCAGTAACATCATATTTAAGTGATAAGTGATTGGCGTACTTGCAAATACTGAATGTATGTGTCCAAAATAATAACCTTGTAAAAAGTTTAAATTAGGTATGAAAGTGAAGCCCGGAATATAATATTCTTTTTAAAGTGACGGAATCGAATT